AGCTTTCATATATTTCCATACAGTTTTCCATATCACATTACTGACTTGATCGTCAGAGGTTTTGCCGGGAACACCTCCCGACATCTTTGCAGGTCTCTGAGGAACAACACGATCGAGGGATCTTGAAGAGCTAATTGAAGGTGCAACTGCACATCAATTAACGTCGTTCTGTAGTGTAACCTTATTTCTCTACTGGTTACAGAAGGAGCTCAGATGGAGAAGACGACTATGGAGGATGAGTGGTTGAGAAGGAATTTGGATGAAAGCCTGGAGAAGGTTTGGGCAGCCAAGATGCCCTACGGTGTAGGACCACCTCCGGGATGGGCTGATGGTGAAGGTGTGTTGGTTACCCCTCACATGACCTTGCAATAGGAGAACCAGAGCATGACGCTGACCAGATCGAGGTTTGGTCGGTCAGGGGAAGGGTAAGGAGGTTGGGGCACAGACGCCAAGTCAAGGATTACGGTACGAGGTAGTGAGGTGTGATACAACTGACTAGGGAGGAGCTGGATAGAATTATTGCGGAGGCGATTGGTTAGCGAAGCTGCCGCAACCTCAGGTGGCGGTGGAGAAGCTGGCAGCGGTAGGTGAGCAGCCAGAACCGACAGTGGATCAACCGGTGGGAGGGGCTCACACATTCCGATGGTTTTTAGGTCGATAGGGTACGGTAGCAGAAGACGAGAGGAGCGAGAGGAGATGTCTATTGTGTCTCATGTGGCTAATAGGCCGCCAAGAGACGTGGCGTTGGAACTTATGGCTAATCAGACTAGGGAGCTCCAAGCCAAAGTGAAAGGGCGGTGATGTAGTAGTGGGATGTGAACGATGGGTTTAAGAAGAGAAGTTTTTTCTTTGAAATGAAGAACAATTATTTTCTTTTCAATCTGATATTCAACTGCCTAATTGAACATATTTGCTTTGAATATATTACAACATATTCCTAACCAACATTATTTAAAAGCCCAAACATAATAAACCTAATACAACATGAATAAATACAAACTTAAATATAAATAATAATACAAAGAAATAGAATAATATTCAAACAAATGAAACGAGTCGATCATATTTGTCGAGATATGCTAATGCAATCTTGTCGACATCATTCTCCCTCGGGTGGAGAGGATTCACCCTCAAATCTGCAATCTCGTCGGTGTCCTGAGCGACCCAGTCGACAAAATCACCTACGTCAAAGACCATCGAGCGACCGTCCACTAAGTCGGGTAAGTCTCTACACTGCTCGGCGCGAGAAACGAATAAAATCGGAGACGACGATGGCAAAGGACCAGAATTGGATGTAGACAGATGCAGGACTATATGGACGCTATCAAATAGAAAACTACATGTGTTGAGGCATCCATCATGTACCACCGAGTGATCAAATTGCTAAGGTCGTCCTAATAAAACATGCCAAGAATCCATAGGCGACGTCACACCATGTCATGTCCTTATAAGAGATCCGATAGAAAAGGTCACCAACACGCATCGAGTGACATAAACAGAATCATCATGAGGTATCCATGCAAGAGCATACGGATCGAGATGCGGCTCACTTAACAACCCAAGTTTCGTAACGGCTTCGTTCGAAATCACATTCTCGCAGGAGCCAGAATCAATGACAAAACGACACACCCGACCGCCAATGGTGTATGTGGATTGTCGCTGGACCTTATCCTCGAAAGAGAAGTGGGGAGACAAAAGAGACCAACGAAGGTTTGAATTTAGGTTTGGATAATCAAAATCTGTTTATTGTGAAACATTTATTTATGTTCTGTATGTTTTGAAAGAAAGAATAGTTTTTTAGTAATGCTCGTTTATTTTAAATTGAAATATATATATATATATATATTTAAAATTTTCCAAAAATTCGTTTTTTTCGTTAAATATAAGCGGACGTTACACTGGATGTTCCCAGCCATTTTCGACACTCTCCCAAGCACCTTTTCCAAGTGATCTAAGAAAAATCGTCATCATAGATCTTCAATAGGAGTAGTTTGAACCATTTAATTGGGAAGGCCTAGACATCGATCCACTTTCCTGATTCATGATTGCCCAATCCTCACGTCTTCAGAACCTTCGTAATGTGTACGAAAACCCGCTATGGTACCAAATGAAGTTGTATACGGATATGTGTAACCAACCAGAATGGAGCTTAACAAATAGATCGGCCAAATCAAGTAGGTTCATGCAATTTCGGAAGCAGTGTTACTCAAAATTGAACCTTCAGGAGAGCTACTCTCCCTCCGGATCTCTGTCATTATTGCAGATATCGCCACCATTATTCAAGGTTTTACAATGTAGACTCTCTCTACACTCTACTTGAAATAATGACCTACACTATTATTTACCTGACCACAAATTTCTTGCGGTTTTTCTCGTTTGAATCCCTCAAACAAATCAGAATGAACCTCCGTACACTCTATTACAATGCGAAGACTCAACTCAACGTGATCAAGAATGTTTTCTTGATTCACCACTCAATCAAAACAAAATATAATTCAATGAATTGTTCTTAAGATTCAAAATGCTCTCACATAAAAAAAATAAAAGCCTCAAGAAAAATCAACTCCAATCATGTGTATACTCCTCCTTTTATATTGGCTCGCATATAGTAAGCTTAAACAAGTCTTCGCTGCCAAGCCACGTCTCATAAGGAAAGTCCTTGACTGATTCTGTCGTCTCTACTTTTGGAAGATCCAAATCAGCGGATGAATCTTCTTCATAAAGAAAGTGCATCCGACGAACATCTATTTACTTATGCATAAATAATACACGTATTAGTTAATTTCAATTAACTAATTTCTGAGAAATTAAACTTAGAAATTTAAAGTAAACTTCCCTTAATTATTCCAGAGTAGTCTAAACACGGTAACATAAGAAGGTTCATTGATTTAATCTACCAATCTCCAAATACTTACAGATATCGATATAGATATAGATTAAACAGTAATGCTAAGGAGCCAACAACCAATTAGACAACTCCATGTGGGGTTGTCCCACATTAAAGTATTGTAGGACAGCCCCACATGGAGTTGTCTCATTGGTTGATGGCTCCGTAATGGAGCCAACTGTTGGCTCTTTAGCATTATTGATAGATTAAATATATACATATTTATAAAAAGGCCTAATTGCCGGTAAAACCACGACCTTACAACTTTTTGCCGTTTTAACCAAACTTTTGGAATTTGGCAAACATAGCACCACCTTGTCAATTTTTGGCAATTCGAAGCACAGGGCCTAATTTCGGGCCATTATGCTGGTATGGCTGCTGACGTGGCAATTTATGCTGATGTGGCACTTTTATGCTGAAATGGTTGTGAGTCCGTGGCTGCTGACGTGGCAATTTATGCTGACGTGGCGCTTCTATGCTGATTTGGATGCTGAGTGGAAATAAAAAATTTTAGCGACGCAATGGTTCGAACTTGGGACCTCCAAGTTGTAAATGAGCATTATAACCACTACACCACTCCAAGTTGTGTGTCAAATTTAGTATAGCTTAATATATATAGACACTAGGTATGAATAAATCAAATTAAATTTAAAATTATATATAAATTTTCAATTATAATAATAAGATATAAACTTATAATAAGTAAAATATTATAACATAAAATATATAATATTAAATTAAAAATAAACTAAAACAAAAGAATAAAAATTGTCATAATAGAGTGCATTTAAATTAAATTAAATTTAAATAAATTTAAACAAAATAAAAATAATATGATATAAGATTATAAAGTATAAAAAAGTAAAAGTGAAATAAATAAAATAAAATAATAAATCAATTAATATAATAAATAGAAATAAATAGAAATCTTAATGAATATAATAAAATAAAGAAATATTATCTGAGATTATTATAATCAATATTGTATTAAATTATTATATTATAATACAATATAAATAATTTATTAACTTACTATATTCAAATAATAATAATTTCATATTTTTATTTAGTTTAGCTTATTATTTAATATAATTTATTATATTATTTCCTTATTTTACTTTGCCATTTTTACTATATTATCTTATCTTTTATTATTTTTATTTTATTTTAACCGGTGTACTTTAATATATTTTATTTATTAATTTAATTTTATCATTATTATTTTTCATTTCCAAATTTATATAATCAATTTATTTTAATGAATAAGAAATATATAAATTTATTTAAATTTTTTATTTAAATTCACTCTACTATAATAAATTTTATCTTACTTTATTTTAGTTTATTTTTTAATTCAATATTATATAATTTATTTTATTATATTTTAATTTTATTAATTTATATCTTATTATTATAATTTAAAATTTATATTTACTTTTAAATTTAATTTGATTTATTCATACCTAGTGTCTATATATATTAAGCGGAATTAAATTTCACACATAACTTAGAGTGGTGTAGTGGTTATAATGCTAACATACAACTTGGAGGTCCCAAGTTCGAATCCTTGCATTGCTTAAAATTTTTTTATTTCCACCCTGCAACCATTTCAGCATAGAAGCGCCACGTCAGCAGCCACGCTAGCAGAAATTGCCACGCCAGCAACCACGCCAGTATAAATTGCCACGTCAATAGCCACACTAGCAGAGAAGGCCCGAAATTAGGCCCGGTGCTTCGAATTGCAAAAAATTGACAAGGTGGTGCTATATTTGCCAAATTCCAAAAGTTTGGTTAAAACGGCAAAAAGTTGTAAGGTCGTGATTTTACCGGCAATTAGGCCTTATAAAAAATGTTAGGAAACTTAAAATGAAAAGCAAATTAGTAAAACTAGCCGTTGCCCCTTGAGCCGTTCCATTCCAAAGATGAGATGCTGCCGCTCTCATATTATTTGAGTGAACAAACAAAATTATTCAAATTCTTGTCTTCTCTAATTCTAGGTTTTCCTTTCGGATCTGCACCACCACACCGTTCCTGATGGCTTGCTGAATCGGATTTTAATCAAACACAACTACAATCGGCCGGAAATTGAAGAAAAATTAAGTGGGCTCATCTCATGGGGGAATCTTCTGCGTGCCTCAAGCGCTCATTTTCTCATCATCCTTCTTCATCGTCCAGTGATGAGAAAAAGGTGTGTTTTCATTTTTCCTTTTGTTGCTTTAATCTTGAATTTTCTCAAGAAACTGTCTAATTATCAAAGCAAGAAGCATCTGGTGTTCACGTTTGTGATTTCGTGTGGGTAGGGTTTATATCGATCTATGTTGTTGATGTCGTCAAATTTGCCTTACTTTTCTCGATTATTCGACCTGCTGTGGTCGTAAATTGACTGTAATGAAATGTAGGCGTTCTGTTTCATTTTATGCTTAGCTGAACTCCAAGCCTTTAATTTCATGAAGGCGAACTGTGATTTTCCTTTAAGTTCTATTCGTTGAGCTTTGTTTGTTGTCATTTGTCTCTCGGATATAGCTGATTCATCTACCGACGATATTGTTAATCACATTCACAAGCGTGTTAAAGTTCTTATTGTTGCGAGTTCATTAAGAATTGCATGCCAGATGTTAATTTTTATTTGAATCGGGTATTTGTACTTCATAAACTCATCTATGGTTAAATGGACTGAATATATGGTGTCGATTGATCAAATTTAATAAATATCTTGGAAATATTATGGAGTAAACCAACACTCTTTGCAGGGGAATCCTCTACAACGAGCCCTTACTACATCTGTATCTTTTGGGAGGTTCATGTCTGAATCCTTGGATTGGGAAAAGTGGTCAGCTTTTACTCACAATCGGTACATGGAAGAAATCGAGAAGTATTCCAAGCCTGGTTCGGTTGCCGAGAAGAAGGCTTATTTCGAAGCGCATTTCAAGAGAAGGCGAGCAGCAGCAATGCTTGAACAGCAAATTGCATCAGATAATGATATTTCGGAAATAAATGCTGACGGGAAGGATAAAGATAGTTTACCCTCAGGCATCGAGAATACAAAACACAAAGAGGTACCCAATGACGGCCCTGTTTTCTCTTTCGGTCAAAACGGGACATCAGAAGAGGCCCAGCCTGAAGGAGGAAATGAGAACGTTACCCAACCACCTTTTCCCAGCAAAATACACGTGGAGTTAACAAAGCAGCCCGAAAATGCTGAATGCAATGGTGATATGGAAGATAATAATGTGTGTGAAAAGGTGCATGCCTTTAAAGTGACTTTTTGTGCTTAACAATTTGAGCTTATGAGTAAAATTTATGTATCCATACTTTGTTCTTAATTTTGGTGACGTGATTGTCTTAGGATGATGACTGTAGTGAGAGGACCTCGGCATTGTTGAGCATGGAGGAATCACAAGTCTTTTCCTCTAACCTATCGACAAACAATGGTGCTCTTTCCGTTAAACAGATGATGCCTTTGCGTGTGAAGACCCTATACAGCAAGAAGAAAGCAATGGAGCCAAACAACAAAGGTAAATCATCCCTTCACATGTCTATCAACTTCGTCTCATGTTCCCAGAAAGCAACATCTCCAGCTCCTCCAAAGCTTGCTGCAAATCCAAGACTTATAAAGGCCCCGACTAAGAAATACAAAAGCAGCACGGATGTCCCTGAAGCTTCGACTAGGGTGCGCCTTTTACTTTTGCTCCCTGCTCTAATCATAGTTCCGTTCGTTAAAATGTAATATTTTAATTTGGAAGATGTATAAAGTGCATGAGTTTTTGTCTGTTTCAAGTGCAGACATCTGTCAGTGGTATATTCAAGCATCTTTCAGCAGCACCTCCAGTAAAAAACAGAAGGTTCTCGGTCAACAAACTCGAAAATAAAATAACTTAAGGATATTTTGGAAATAATGTTTTACCTTTACTGTATGCTACTTCTGTTTTTTATTGATTGCTTGTTCGGTTTACAGGACTGTAACAGATCAGGGTGATTTGACTACATTAAGGAGAACAGTGGATTTTAAAGCGCAGGCTTCATCTTCAAAGTAAGCATTTTATGCATCTGCCAATTGACCTCGAGTTTTGATTTATGTAGTGAAACTAGGATAATTGATATATAATGATACGGTTATTTAATTTTGTTAACCGGTGTTTCAGAATCTCCAAGTCTACAAACATGTCTGAAGGGAAAGCACGATTGCCAACCGCGTCTTCTCCTTTCAAATTTAAGAGTGAAGAAAGAGCAGCAAAACGAAGAGAGGCAAGTCAAATTTGATCACACTTCAATTATCAGCATCTTTTTACTTGCATTCAGTACTTCTGATTCTTTTGCTTTATTTATTGGGCTTTAGTTTTTCCAGAAGCTTGAAGAGAAGCTGACGTTAAAGGAGACAGGGAAACACAAACAGGCAAAATCCCAGGTTCCAGAATATAAATATTTTGCTTAAATTTATGCAAAAAGTTGCAAAACATCTAAAATGAGGAAGAAAGAGCCATAAAAAGGGACTTTCAATAGTTTGCAATGGAAATTATTTATAATACCTACTGATTAGTCCTTACTCACAGATGGAAAATGGGTATTCTAGGCCCAAAGTGGTATCGTAGGAGAAAAATAAAGCCTCTTTCACGAGATCTGACTTTAACTTGAGATAAATTGTTCAGAAAAGTGTTTGTCACTTGCTTGTATCTCTTAACCTGACGAGATATCAAAATATCAACTTTTCTGGTATGCAGGTTAATGCAATAAGTAAGTTTAAGGATCTTCAGAGCTCAATTGCGTCAAAAGCAACAGAAAACGCTGAACCTCCTCCAAGAACAAAATTACCACCAAGTTATTTAAAGAAAAAGGTATGTCATGTCATTTGTTTAAGTTTTATGCTTATGAAATCCGAAAGATTGGATGAAGCTATTTAGCAAATATATATACATATACATACATACATGTGGCCACGATTCATGGCCATATTATACAAGTGTGTGAATAGTGTACCCCAAATCAGCCAAAGCTGAAGTTTCTTTTGAATGGGATCACTATGAGGTAACACACAACGGAAATAAACAATACAAGAATAAGCATTCTTCTAATAAATATTATTAATCCATTGGGAAAGCTAATTATACACGGTGCATCTTCAAGATCAAGCGAACTTTCAGTTTCTAATCTTCATTAGTGATGAATAAAGGAACATATCCCCCTTTTCCTATGCACACCATAGAGATTCAAATGGTTCCCCTCTAATGCAGTCCTCCTTTTAAACTATAACGAATAGTCTCCGGTCCCGAAAATTAAATGGTCAATAGGAATAGTTTCGGAAATGAGAGAAGTATAGGGATAACTGTGAATACACATTCAAGAGCAAGAAAATTTGAACTCCAGCGGCCGGCCCATAGTCGGGCACTCTCTTGTGCATATACGTATCTTTCCCACTTAGATATTTTAAAAAAAATTAAACTGGTAAGGACCTAATATAAAAGAAACACTTCTTTTTTAATAATATGTCAAATCCTAATGTTTCTAAGAAACTTGAAGAGCAGACATACAGTGCACGTAAGGTTTATCAAATAGGCATATAAAGGCTTGAGCTTGAATTTTGAAGTATAATTATGTGGAGTAATTTTAATTTATCTAATATCAAAGTCCAACTAATAGATTCCATTAACTAAATTTATTAAATTCTTTTTATTGATGTCTAATCAAAATTATGTTTAATTAAATAATTAAATTATTAATTAAAGTTTTATTCGACTATAGAATTAAATTAATGCCATGTCAATCTAGTCAAGTATTAGATTATTAGATTATCAATTTGAAGTCATTGTCCAAAGTTAAGGTTTGATCATGTTAAGTTCATGATTAACACGATTAACAATAGCTATTGATTACATATCATTTGTAGTTAACTTTTTTAATTCCAAGTGTGTAAATATAAATACTTTCGACGATTAATTTCCCAATTACATTTTCAGTATGGATTTGTAAGTTGAAATCGAAAATTAATTAATTCCTTTGATTCCATTTCAGGATTTAGTGATTCAATTATGAATTCAAAGTCATCTTGATCTTTGAGTCACAAACTACGTAAAACATTGGAAATTCAGTTGTTACAAAACAAGTATATAAATCTATATTAGTCACAGTCATAAATAAACCTCTACACACATTTTACAATACCCATAAAGTCTTCTTTTGTGATTTCGTGACAATAAAAAGATAATTCTATGTGAAACACAATATTGTTGCAATATGAATAAAAAGATAATTCTATGTGAAACACAATGTTGTTGCAATATGAAAATTTTATGGAACAGTTAAGACTTCCTGGTTGCAATTTTTCATTGTTTTATGTTGAAAACTTTACATATATATATTTTCTTCTACACGCCGATATCCTGTCTTGAAACAGAGGTTGCAATTTTTCATTGTTTTTTTTTTCTAAAACTTTACATATATATATTTTCTTCTACACGCCGATATCTTGTCTTGAAACACTCACACGCTTCTTCTACACGCCGATATCCTGTCTTGAAACACTCACACGCCGATATCCTGTCTTGAAACACTCACTGATAATGGAATCAACATTCTCATCCAAGTTTATTGGGGTTATGCAATACCCTGTCTTGAAACACTCACTCAAACAGTCACTGACTTGAAACTTATTTATAATCATAACCTTAAAAGCATATTTCGTGATTGTCATCACATGCATAACTATGTTCCTTAGTTAATAATGGATCCGAGTTGTTTATCCTATATTTAATAAGTAATAAAACAAAGAAATAAAATGATACATGCCTTGATATAATATATTTTCCAATAATTGAATCCCTTTGTCAAAAATGAAAAATGAAACATGCCTTTAAGAAAAACAATAGTCTTCACATCCCTTTGTCATAGCAGGATTTAAACTTGGCAAGTGGTGAAAGAGTTTTCTCATAACCAACACCTTTAATGTAACCTTTTTTCTACCAAATGTGCTTCACGGGTAGCTCCCTCTCCATGTACTCCAAGCTTCTGCTTGTCGACCGATTTGCAGTCACTTGTTATAATACATTGTGATTGGGTCAACCAAGGTCCATACTTTGTTCAACATGGAGTCCAACTTGGACTACACTACTTCTTTCCATTTATTCGGGTCAATATCCTACATCGCCTCTTAATAGTTGTTTGATCATTATTATTGAGTTCCTCTTCTTTGGTCTCTATCAAATATGTTTATCTTATCAAGCTCCCTTGAAACTCTTACGAAATTTTTCAAGAGGTTTTGTCTTAAGAGCGTCCATGATATTTGTGACAACTTGTTTGAAATTTTGTAGCGTCATAACATAGTATCCTATAGACCCTCTTGGATTTTCCACAAATTTACATAAGATGAATTTTATATTCAATTTATCTCCCTCCTATTGTTTCAAGAGGTGTCTCTTGTCTATAATATAATGCATAGTAAGTAACATGAAATTTGGACTACAACTGCGACAGAATTTCCCTTAAAGATAAATCACAAAATTTAATGGTCAAATATTATAATACGATGAAGACCACGTTGCTTATCCATTTCACATCTAAATCCTTTGAATTTTATGAAGGCTGCACCTAAAGAAGTAAATGTTGTAAAAAAGTAAATGTTATAAAGCAGTGACAATTTCTTATTAACACTTAATGGTTCATAAATGTCAGTATGAATTAAATCCAATCGACCTTAGTTCTCTCCACTTGTCCAATAAATGTTGATTGTGTCAATTTTCTTTTATAACATGCGCGTCTCATGTAGGCAAATTATCCTCTTCTATGGTCGAATTTTATTCTCAACTTTGAAAGCGTTTCTAGAAACATGACTAATCTATCATGCCAAGTGTAAATGATGTATGATAGTATTGAGCTTAGGTGTAGTAGTGTATGAAAAAATTGGTCAATAATTGAACTATATAAACCTCAATAAAACATTCTCTCCATTTTCAATAACAAACCTAAAAAACATTCCCTATCCAAAACTTGGCTAGAGATAAGTAGTAATATAAGTAATATATAATGACAATTGTTCAAACACAAATTGGAATTACTATTAAAATTTTGATTAAAGTACTTATAGCTAATGCAAAGTGTAAATGACTTATGATTAGGATTGAACTATGAGGTGTAATTAGGGCTGCAAACGAAACGAGCCGAGCCGAACATCTGCTTTATCGAGAAGGATTGATTTTTTTTTTTAGCTGCTCGAGCTCGAGCTCGATTTATGAGACTCGAGCTTGAGTCGATAAAAATTACAATAGCTCGAGCTCGACTAGAAATCAAATGCTCAAGCTCGGCTTGAAAATTTTTTAATGGAGAAGTAAATCCTCTATATATAATTCCCGAATGCGCTGAGCCTACGTGGCTGCTTCAGGTGCTTCGGAATCCTACTTGGCGAAGAATCATGCTTCGTAATTAGGTTTGGACAAATATTATTAATATATTAATAATTACTAATTTAGGTTTGGACATTCTATAAATATTATTTAGCTAATTTAGGTATTTTAATATCACTTGTACTAATATAACCATTTAATTCTTTATAATTTTACATAGTGAGACACTAAGTGACTAATATATCCCTGACTTTTGATTTGTTTCATTCAATTAGATATTGAATTATAAATGTGTTTTAAAAGTTGATAACTTTTGTATTTCTTATCGGTTTTACATATATAATATATCAAATTAATAATCTTTTCACGATCTTCGATTTGACATCCATATTGTATATATAAAATAAATAAATTATATTTATCTTTATAATAATAAAAATAATAAAATTTATTAAAATTTATTAGAAAAATAAAATTATTTCTCAGATTATCATATTTATGTTTAATATATTTATATGTTGTAAGTTAAAAAAAAAAATTATTATAATATAACACAAGTAAGTCACACAAATAAAAAGTGTCATACTAAATATATAATAATATATATATTTTATAAAAGGTATTTAAATTTTCAACTACTTTTTCTCATCAATTTTAGATTTTAAGGAAAAAATTAGCAAGCACCCGTGTAATACACGGGCGTTGTGCTAGTTAACATTAAACACCTATGCTAATATATATAAGGGGAATTTTAGTAATTTGACATTTTTCTCGAGCCGCTCGACAATGCAAAATATGGACTCGAGTTCAGCCAAACTCGAGCTCGAGTCGAGCTTTGACTCGAGCGCGCGAGCGCGCGAGCCGCTCGGTTCGTTTGCATCCCTAGGTATAATAGTATATGAAAAATTCATCACAACTGACTATATAAACCTACAAAATATTCTCTGTTCATTTTCAATAACAAACCTAAAACATTCTCTATCCAAAACTTCTAAATATAGATAATATTGTTGATATTATGTGTAATATATAATGTCAACTGTTGAAACACTAATTGAAATTATGATTAAAATTCTGATTACAGTCCTTTATAGCCGATGCAACAATTTTTGCTCCATTGTACGTCTTAAGTATTGTTTTTTCGTACTATCCAACTTCTTGCTTCTGTCATCTACAAATCATTGCAAATTTGTGAGCTACAACATGTATCAAGTACACAAAGAGCATCATTAACTTCAACAAAAAAATATAATTGAATGGCTTTAGGGTTG